GTTGTGATGATGCTCAGGGAATGAGTGTTAGGTAATATAAAAAAAAAAAAGTTGCAGGAGGAAAAAAAAATGCACATTGATGACTGCAGCGAGCTGTATGGGCACAGCTGGGTACTACTTTATAGTATGTTCATTCTACTCACCGGGGTTTATGCCTAGCGTCAGACTTGGATACATGTGTAGGTTTGTGTCAGCTGTGCTAGCTAATGGATTTATTTAGACTAATTAAGTTCATTGGCAGAACAATTGAATGGGGGGGGAGGGGGGAGAAAGGTATGGAGGGCAACCATGGATGCCAGGGACAATGGGGGTGGAAGATGGGACATAGCAGAGAGTGGGGGATGGGGAAACAGGGATGGCAAGACAAAGGGCAAGGTATGCAGGACGTAAGAATTGGAAAATTATTTGCTGAGAACATGTATGTGGATGTGCTTGATTTGAGCCAATGCACAGTGTATTTTGGATGGAAAATTTATTTGTGTGTTGTGATGGTGTAAAGTGAATTAATAAAAAAAAAAAGAAGTGGGGCCTTTAGGAAGTAATTAGGTCACACAGTGGGTAGAACACTTATGAATGAGATTAATGCCATTATAAACGATATTCAAGAGAATTCATTCATCCTTAACATGTGAGGACACAGCAAAAAGTTTCCATCTATGAACCAGAAAGCAGACCCTTGCCAGATATATTTGTTAGCACCTTGACCTTGAATTCTTCATTCTCCAGAACCATGAGAAATAAATTTCTATTTCTAAGCCACCCAGTTTATGGTATTTTGTTATAGCAGCCCAAACAGACTAATATGTGGGGCCAGCTTATGGCATAGTGGATAAGGCACTGGACTCCCACATGGTCGACTGAAGTTCAAGTCCCAGACCTGGTGGCTTAAAACTCACACGGGGCATGCCGGGCGCATGTGCGTGTGTGCCCAAGATCCCAAGAGGAGAATGGAGGAGAAGGGATTGCGGCGTGGCCATCCCCCCTGGGGGGTGATTTCTCGCTTTCTATCTCTCTGTCTCTCTCTCTTTCTGGCAAGCGCACGCGCTCCATAGCAAAAACCTCTCAAAAAACAAAACAAAACAAAACAAAACAAAATTCACACGTGGTGCATGTGAGTGCATGCCCAAAATCCCAAGAGGAGGATGGAGGAGAAGGGATTGTCATGTGGTCATCTCCCCTGGGGAATGAGTTCTCATTTCTCTCTTTCCGTTTCTTCCTCTTTCTCTGGCAAGAATACATGCCATACAGCAAAAATCAAAACAAAACTCTAAAAGCAAACAGACTAGAAAGTAATTATTAGATCCAGAGGGGAAAAGAAGATTTTTTTAATGTCATGATTAAAAATTTTGATTTGTTCACTAAGCGCTGAAAATCTATTTTCAGATATCTTCATAATTTTATACTTCCAAATCTTTAATAACATATTATTAATAGGCATTTTCTAGAATCCAGAGAAACAGCATAATTTTTTGTAGCATAACTTGTTTAAGGAGAAGTTTATTTGTAAACTTAAGTATTAGAAAAGGCACTTTAACTTTCAGAGTTATTGTTAACACAAAGTGCAATTTGATTTTAAAAGGAATGGCTTTGCAATCAACCACTCTAGATTCAAATCATGCCTCAGTCATTTTCTAAGTAAACAACGTGGGCAAGTCAGTTACTCTTTCTCAGTGTTATTTTTGTCATCTTTAAAATGTTGATAATAAAACTTACCTTTTAGAGCTACTGAAGCATTAATGTTATTGTATATAAAATACCCTGTCACTGTGCCTGGTAGAGTAGTTAACCAGTAAACA